AAATATTCCTGTCTGAAGATATTCATATCTCCCACAGATTTTAAAAAACAAGATGATAAAACTACTCAGATTAATCCACACTTGCATTGGTGGTAGTTTTAAAGAAGTCATGGGTAACGTAGAAGAAAACATGCTGTGCAAAGCTGACTTACCATGAATACATAGCCATGTTCTCTTTAGCTCATTTGTCAGATTCAGAAAAATGAATAATTAGACATCGCTTTTACTGAGAACTGAACCCCAGGTTTTCTGTGACTCTCTGGAAGTTGGTATAGGTTTTATTTCTATTAAACTTTCAGCAGTTTTCAGTATTTGTAGTGCTGCTAACCAAAATAAAACTAATATGAGACCTAGAAATTCTTTTAAAAACTTAATTAGCCTGTTTATAGAAAGCATTAGTTATAAAGTGATATATTTCAAGAGTTTCTTGCCACATTAAGTATTTAATATATAAAAATGTTTATAGTTTTTAAATATAATTTCTATTTTAAAAGATTCAAAGTTTTGAAAATGTATGTAAAGATATTTATTGTATTTATCATGCATTATTTTTCTACTTAATAGCATTGTTGGACACTTTTCAAATCTTTTATGTTGGAAACTTGCCACAAAACTAGCTGCATTCTCATAGTTATTAGTTACTATTTCAGTCTTTCAAAAGATTAAGTAGCTCTCTAAAATTGGAGGAAGTAATTTCTGATTGGAGGCTATTTCTGATTTTTTTGAAAGGAATTTTATGTAACATTGTTGAACAAGTTTATGTAAATAGCATATATATATACACAATATATATATCATGGTGGTTATTCTTTTTTATGTGTTCATGGATTAAATTTGCAAGTATTTTGTTGAGTATTTTTGCATCTATGTGCATAAGGGAAATTGGTCTGTAATTTCTTTTATATTTAATCTTTGTGGTTTGGATATGAGGATGACTGGCCACATAAAATGAATTTGGCATTGCTCCTTCTGTTTTTGTTTTGTGGAATAATTTGAGGAGTATTGGCATTAGCTCTTTTTTGAAAGTCTAGTAGAATTCTGAGCTGAAACTGGATTTTTTTTTGTTTTGTTTTGTTTTGTTTTTGGTTAGGAGACTTAATGACTGTTTCTATTTCTTTATAAGTTATAGGCCTATTTAGGTTGTTTATCTGATCTTGATTTAACTTTGCTGAATTGTATCTGTCAAGAATTATCCATTTCTTTTAGATTTTCCAATTTTGTGGAGTACAGATTTTTAAAGTAAAACCTGATCATTCTTTGATATTCCTTGGAGTCTGTTGTTATGTCCTCCCTTTTATTTCTGATTTTGTTAATTTAGATACTGTCTCTGCCTTTTCATTAGTTTGGCTAAAGGTTTGTCTATCTTGTTGATTTTTCTCAAAGAACCAGCTCTCTGTATCTCGTTGTTTCTATCTTATTGGTTTCAGCCCTCTGTGTGGTTATTTCCTGCTACCTATTCCTCTTTGGAGTGCCTGCTTCTTTTTGTTCTAGAGCTTTCAGGTTTGTTGTGGGGTTGCTAGTTTGAGGTCTTTCCAATTTCTTTATGAAGGGTCTTAGTGCTATGAACGTTCCTCTTAGCACTGCTTTCATTGTGTTGCCACAAGTTTAAGGTATATTGTACATTCATTTTCATTGAATCCTAGGAAGTCTTTAATTGCTTTATTTCTGCCTTGACCCAGTGGTCATTCAGTAGAGAGTTGTTCAGTTTCAGTGAGTTCTGTTCTTGTTGAAATCCAGCTTTTGTCCATATTGGTCTGATAGGATGCAGGGGGTTATTTCAGTTTCCTCTTATCTGTTGAGACTTGATTATAATTAGGTATGTGGTCAGTTTGGAGACTGTTCCATGAGGTGCTGAGAAGAAGGTATATTCTTTTGTGTTGGGGTGAAGTCTTCTGTGGATATCTGTTAGATATATTTGGTTTATAATGTTTGTTAGCTCCAGTATTTCTCTGTTTCGTTTTTGTCTGGAGAACCTGTCCATTGTGGAGAGTGGGGTGCTGAAGTCTCCCGCCATCATTGTGGGAGGGTTAATGTATAATTTAAGCTTTAGTAGTGTTCCATTACAAACATAGGTGCCCTTGTGTTTGGGGCATAAATTGTTAAGAATTAAAAGATCATTTTGGTGGGTTTTTTCTTTGATAAGTATGAAAATATTTTTCAGTCCTTTTATTCTGAAGTAATGCCTATCTTTGATGCTGAGGTGTGTTTCTTGTATGCAGCAGAAGGATGGATCCTGGTTTTGTATCCATTTGTTAGCCTGTGTTTTTTCATTAAGGAATTGAGTCCATTGATACTGAGAGATATTAATGACTAATAGTTGTTAATTCCTGTTGTTATTGTTGGGTGTGTGTGTTTGTTTCCCTTCTTTTGATTTTGTTGGTGTGAGATTATTTCCTTGTTTTCATGGGTATAGTTAAGTTCCTTGGGTTGGAGTTTTCCTTTTAGTACCTTCTGTGGATACATGGATAGATACTTTTTTAAATTGGACTTTATTCTTGAATATGTTACTTTTTTCCATCTATTATTCAATTAAAAGTTTTACCATGTAATGTAATCTGGGCTGGCATCTGTGGTTTCTTAGAATCTGCCACATACCTGTCCAGGGCCTTCTGGCTTTTAGAGTCTCCATTAAGAAGTCAGAGGTTTAATTCTAATAGATGTACCTTTATATGTTACTTGCTTTTTTTTTTTTTTTTTTTTTTTTTGCAGCTTTTAATATTCTTTCTTTGTTCTTTATGTTTAAAGTTCTGAGTGTTATGTAGCAAGCAAGGGGACTTTGTTTTCTGGCCTAATCTATTTGGTGTCTGTAAGCTTTATAGGCATGTCCTTTTTTAGGTTAGGAAAATTTTCTTCTATGATATTGTTGAAAATATTTTCTGGGCCTTTGAGCTGGGATTTTTTTCCTTCTTCTGTTCCTATTATTCTTTTTTTTTTTAAATTATCTATCTATCTATCTATCTATCTATCTATCTATCTATCTATCTATCTATTTATATTTATTCACTTTGTTTTTTAAATTTTTTTATTTTAAAATAATTTTATACATTAACTTGTATCCCAGCTGTAGCCCTCTCTCTCTTTCCTTCCCAACCCTTCCCTTCCTCCCTCATCTCCTCCCTGTCCCCTTCCGAGTCCACTGAGACCGGGTATCCTCTTCTCCTTCCATCTGGCCCTAGCTTATCAGCTATCTTCAGGATGGTTGCAGTGTCCTTATCTGTGGCCTAGCAAGGCTGCTCCTCCCTCAGGTGGGAGGGGAAGCTCATGAGTTCATGTCAGGAAAAACATATGGAACGCTTCACGAATTTGCGTGTCATCCTTGCCCAGGGGCCATGCTAATCTTCTCTGTATGGTTCCAATTTTAGTATATGTGCTGCCAAAGCGAGCACTGTTCCTATTATTCTTAGGTTTGATTTTTTTCATAGTGTTTCAGATTTCCTGAATCTTTGTGTCAGGATTTTGTTAGATTTAATATTGTCTTTGACTGATGTGTCTGTTTCTTCTGCCATTTCTTCAATGCCTGAAATTCTCTCTTTCATCTCTCATATTCTATTGGTGATGCTTACATCTATAGTTTCTGTTAGCTTCCTAGAGTTTCCATTTCCAGTTTTCCTCAGTTTCTGTCTTCTTTATTTCTTCCAGTTTTTGGGTTTGAACAGTTTTATTCATTTCTCCTTTTTTTTTTTTTTTTTTTTTTTGGTTTATGATTTCCTGAATTTCTTTAAGGGTTTTATTAATTTCCTTTTTAACAGCTAAGAATTATCTGGTTAAGAAATTCTGCCATCTTTCATTTCAAGTGATCTGTCATAAAGTTGGTTTTAAGATCTTTTTCTTGTGCTTCAGCTGTTTTGGAGTATTCAGGGCTTGCTGTAGTGGGATAGCTGAGCTCTGGTGTTGACATACTGTCCTGGCTGGTTTTGATTGTCTTCTTATTCTGGCATCTAGGCACCTGGAATTAGAGCAATTGTCATTGTTGGATGCCTTTTTTTCCCCATTGGTTTCTGTTTATTCTCTAGTCTTCTGGCCTATCTGGCCTGTGGTTGAATAGGGGTCACCACCCAAGTTGGGGGCTGGACTTCTGATGGCTGGGGTGGTTTCTGGTTGAGCAGGGGCCTAGCTTGGGTTTCTGGATGCCACTGTGGCATCCAGGGTGCTTCCACTAGAGCTGTGGGCTCTAATCCTGAGTTGCTTGTATATGCCACATTTCTATGTGTAGTGCATGATTTTAAGCATTTCAAAATATTTTTATATATGAGAACATTTCTGAAACTGAGGATTGAAAAAGAAAGTAGAGCTGTATAGATAGATGGCTTAGGAAATTAGTCCCTGTCCCCCAACTGTGAAGACAGATCTTAAGAACCCATGTAAATTAAGTAGTGGGTAGGTGTAGCAGCTTTCCTGTAATCCCAGCACTGGAGAAGAGGAGACAGAAAATTCCCATGGTAAGCTGTCTACTTGTACTAGTTAGTGCTGTGAGCTCTGGGTTTAAAATGAGACCTCGCTTCAGTAAGTAAAATAGAAAGTGATCAAAGAAGACAACTGATGTTAACCTCTGGTCTCCAGATGTACTCACACACAGATACACACACACACGTGTATATGAACATGTATACAAGTAGTCACCCTTGAGAGAGTACTTGAGAGAAAGTACTTTGCCTGAGTTTTTGCCACTATTAAGTATTGAGATGAATTTGAATTCCTGGGGCCTAGTGACTACTCAGCCTGATGATGGCAAGTTTCTGTTTTGGAAATGGACTCCTTATTGCTTTGGGTTCTCTTGATACTTGTGCCATATCCCTGGCCTTTATTGTCTTGAGTTCTCTTAATGCCCTGAATAAAATGAGAAAGTATATAAGGAACTCTTCCGTGTTTTCCTATGGACATCCACATCTTTCAGGAACATCTGTGCTTCGTTCCTAAAGATGAACATGGTGTGCTTCTGGTCAAATAGTGTAAACTTGTGACCATATTTCTCATAATATGAATTTTTTTTCCATCTGCAGGTTTTAAATGCACAGAGAGCAGGATACAAAGCAGCCATAGTTCACAATGTAGACTCTGATGACCTGATTAGCATGGGATCCAACGACAGTAAGTACAGGTATCACTTCTCTTGTCTCCTGATTGACAGATCATTTGAAATGAGTTAACAGAATTTCTTCTTAGTCAGAGAAGTCTCAGCTGTTAACCTTTCTTGGGGATAATTTTAATTTCCAACTGAGGTAGAATTGACTTGTCCTTTTTCTGAATAGTTGGGTTTTTATTTGTTTGTTTTAGCTTTTGTGTTTATTTGTAGATGTTTTCTTCCTTTTTTTCCCCCTTCCTTCCTTTTTCTGTGTAGCCATGGCTGTCCTGGACTCACAGCAATCCCCCTGTCTCTGCCTCTCAGAGTGCTGGATCAAAGGTGTGCGCCATCATGGCCGGCTGATATTTTCTTTAAGAAAGAAGTCAAAAGCCATAAATAGTGATTTAATTACTTGTTAAGCATGCCACAGAAGGCCTGTAAGATGACTTAGTGAGCAGAGGCATTGTTGTTGGGACTGATGACCTAAGTTCAATCTCCTTAAGCCACATAATAGAAGGAAGAAAATCCATTCCTGAAAGTTGTTCTCTGTCCTCTGCATACATGCTGTGGGGCGCGCGCGCGCGCGCACACACACACACACACACACACACACACACACACACAAAGTAAATGTAATAAAAATTAAGGAATTCTGTAGAAACTTTTTGTAATTTATTTAAATATACACAATAAATTTTAAGATGTATAGATAAAGTACCTACTGTATTCTGTTGAAATTTCAATGCCATATACCTTATAATTTCTTTTTTATGTTTTGTGCATGTGCATGCATGTGTGTGTGTATGTGTTAGTAGCAGTAGCAGTAAGTAGTGCAGCCTTCCAACATCAGATGTCTTTTCCTATTGCTCATCACTGTATTTTCTTTTATTGTCTTATAAAGACAGTATTTTGCTTCATGTGTTTCTATGCACCACATGTCTGCTGTGACCACTGAGTCTAAAAGAGGGCCTTAGATCTCCTGGAACTGGAGTTAGACAGTTGTGAGCTGCCACATGGGTGGTAGGAATAGATTGTGGGTCCTTTGGAAGAGTAGGGAAGTGCTCTTGATTTTAAGACATCTCTTCAGCCTCTTCACTTTTATTTTTTAAACAAGGTTTTCCACTGAACCTGCAATGTACTGATTAGCTAGAGTGATGCCTAGCAAGCCCCAGGGATCCTCCTGTCTGTCTGCCACTGCAGTAGTTACAGTGAAGAATTGGGCTTTTTATATTGGAGCTGGATACCCAAACTCAGATCCTCATAAATACAGCAAACACTTTATCACTGAACCATTTTACCAGACCGTGGATGGATGAATGGATGGATGTTCGTCCGTCCTTCCTTCTTTTTTCCTTTCTTTCTTTCCTTGTTCTTTTCTCCTTCTTTCTTTCCTTCCTTTCTCTCTTCCTCCCTTCTTCCC